TAAAGCCCAACTTGGTGAACCAATGAGTTCTATTGGGGTTACTTAGAGGAGTATGGTTGGGGGAAAAGAACACTAACAGAAGCAATTCGCCACTTTTCCAGCTGACTAGAGCAGTCTCTGCCAACCCTATGGCAAAGGTTAGGGTCACAGCAACAGACGGGGACAAGGGATGGTAATGCACCACAGCAAGAGAACTGGTAGAGGAAACAGAACAGTCTATGGCACCCGATGGCCAGTCCTCCAGCTTCTGCCATACACAGGTTAGTCAGCCTCTGGAGTGACCGAAGTCCTCCAGGTGGTCAGCTTGTGTGGTAATAATGAACCCTAAGAGCATCTCCAGTCTCCAGAAGCCGGTTTCACTTTGCTGTGGGAATTAGGGGACCACCTTTACTGCAATAGTAGATAAAGTGACAGTGGTGGACCCATCCAAAGGGACTTGAGGGGTTGGATAGTCCATTCTTTTACCCATATAGCATGTCCTGGCTTAAAGAGGTCTATGGTCAAGCTGGCAGGTAGCCACTCCCTAACTCGATGGTCTATGGCAGTCAGGGACAAGCCAAGAATCTACATTTGTTATCTCAGAACAATGCTGCCCAACCGTTGTATCAGAGGCAGGAGTTCATAAAGGATAAGGGGAGAACCCTGTTGTCAACAAAACAATCTTCAACAGCTGGTCCCAGTGTAGGTGGGTTCCCCTCACACAGTGTTTGTTCCTTCCACCTTCCCAGAGCTCTGGAGACAGTATGTGGTGTCCACGGGATCTTCAACCCCTTTGTCACCAATTGTGCCCCCTCAGCCACAACATTAGCCCATTATCAGATCCTTTGATGACTGGGACTCCAAACCTGGGAATGATTTTCTTTAGGAGACATTGAACCTTCTCTTTGTTGGTAGAGAAGGCCTCTACCCAGCTGAGAAAGCAGAGTAACAGATACTTGCAGTCAGTCTTGGGAAGCTCAGTGAAGCCCAGAACTATATTTTCAAATGGGGCTCCTCGAGCACTCTGTACCCTAGAAGAGACCTTAGGTCCCCAGTGCAGGCTACTGCAGGCACATATGTTACATTGTCCGCACACCTGGGCTACACTGGAGAATCAAGGGATGTAGAAATGCCAGTCAGGTGTGGCCTCAAGAGCTGTCCAGCTAAGAGACAGGGTCTCACTATGTAGCCCTGGCTGTCTTGGAACGCACTCTGTAGACCAGGAAGACCTCACCTCATAAGTGAGGCAGAGGGATTAAAGGTGTGTGCATCACAAGTGAGGCAGAGGGATTAAAGGTGCGTGCCGCCACTGAGTTGCTTAGGTCCTTTTTATTCTCTAAAGCCTCATGCATGTTGAGGGTGGTGAAGGCACACTGAAGAGTCCATTTGTATATTGACACACATCCCTCCTGCCAGCAACAGGGTTCAGCTGAGTTCTGCCTTTGTGCTGAGGTTCCCATAGGCAGGAATTTCATCTCAATGATGGAACTCAAGTTGACCGTGAAGTGTCCTGAAAGATATTCTCCCTATCACAAAACTGCTACCATAGGTGAAATACTCAACATCCACAGTCCTTGGTAAGAAATAGCGCCTCCATCACTTTGATGTAGTCCTGGTCTTGCTGGTCTAGACCACATACACTAGGGTCTCAGGGTTTGAGGTCCACACTACTTCTAGGTGAATACACAGGTTCTCACACATTTCCTGGCACCTGACCATCCAGGCATTCCTCAGCCTCTACTGTCCCTTGAACTCCATTAATGGCAGTACTGGGTGTGGCACTAAGACTATTAATTCTTTTCCCATAATCAATTTGTCAGTCTCCGACACGAAGATGACAGTGAGTACCCAGAGCCAGGGTGGCCGGCCTTGGGCAATGCAGTTAAGTTGATTGGAAAGGTGTGCCACAGGGCAATGCCATGACACCAACATTTGTGTCAGGACTCCCATCCTAACGTCAGCACGCTAGTGCATGCACAGGAGTGTGGACACGTCTGAATGTGCTAAGACCAGGCACATTGGTGAGAGCTTCCTGGTCTCTTCAAAAGCCTTCTGTTGCCCTTGTTCCCACAGCAGAGGGTCTTGCTCTTCTCTTTATGGCCTCATATAGTGGTTTTTTGACAAGACAGAGAAATTAGATATTCAGATTCTACATAAACCTGTGGTCCCAAGGAACTCCCCAAAACTAGTGTTAGGTTGGGGAAACCCGGATAACCAGACAGTCTGCTCTCTTTCTGGGCTGAGTCAATGTTCTTCTTGGGATAGGTGAAACAAAAGCATTTGACAGATTTGGATCTTTTTTTTCTTTCAAACCATGTAGCCATCTCCCACAGGAGGGTTAAGAGCAGTTGTGTTCATTCTGTATAATCCTCCTGCACCCATCTGGCCAGCAGTAGTTTCATCCACATACTGGAATAGAGTTCAGCCATGTTGGCCTGCGGGGAACGCTTTTAAATCAGAGGCTACCCTCGGTGCCAAAAATAGTTTGAGAATTTTTGAATCCTTGAGGTAGTCTAGTCCACTTGCCACCGTTTTTAGGATTCTTCTACTGGAAGGAGAAGACTGGTAAGCTCTGAAGAGTCAGGTGGATACAGAAAAAGGCATCCAGACACGTGATGAATGCAGCTTCAGCAGGATGAGACCCAGGAGACGGCAGAGGTCACAGACAACTGGGTGTAGGGTAACGGTGGCCTTGTTTACGGCTCCTAGGTCCTGACCTGGCCAACAGCCATCTGTTCCTGTTTATAGCTGGGCAGGTTGTATTCCAGGCTGACTGGCAGGACCAGAGGATTCATAAATAGAGCAAAATTCTTAAGACCCAAAACAAGCTTGGGGGCTTCAGAAAAGAATATACTCCCTCTGCTTCTGCTAGAACATAGTGTACAAGGGGAATCTTCTCTATAGCATGTGCAATAACTCTATTAGCTTTTAAAAAGCAAAGCATTTGGTAACGTGTGCAGATTCACTGCTGGGTTTGGAAGGCCAGGCAGATAACCCTAGAGGAGGGGGCAGGCAGTAGAGGGAAGTTCCCCCCTCCCCCCGCCAAATCCCATTTCTCCTTTGAAACGTGTCCAGAAAACCAGACTCGGCACTTAGAGACCACATACAAAAGGCCAGTAAGAGTCCTGGTAACAGAGACCAGTCTCCTGCCACAAGGAACTCTTAGCCCTACAACAAGGAAGGGGGAGGGTTTCTAAAGTCAAAACCCACAATTACATCCTACGAGAGGAAAGCGGGAGTCACAAGTTTTAAAGGTTTCCATTCAACTGATTAAAACAATTTGCTTTATGTTGTAAAGCAACAGACCTCTGGCAGCTACAGCTGTGGCAGCATCAGAATAACAGTCTGTCGTGGAGGATGTGGTGGACTGGGGAGCGCTGGTGTGCTAGAACTAGGACAGAGTGGAGTTACTCTGGACAGCTCAATAAAAGATGCTGCGTGTTTGAATGTGGCAGATGCACATCCTCCCTCAGACTTCCAGCCCTCCCTGGGTGACTTGTGATGCCACCACAGTGTAAATGCTGTGGATAACTGCTCTGCTGTGTGCTGTTAGGGAAGAGTACACACATGTCTCTCAGAAATGAAAATTTTATTTGTTTATTATTTATCTATTTATTCATTTAATTTTGATACTGTGTCTCACTAGAACTTGATTTGTGGACTAGGCTGGTCTTTAACTCACAGAGACCAGCCTGCCTATGCCTATGACTCTACCTCCCAAGTGCAGAGATTAAAGGCATGAGCCAGCATGCCTGTTTCAGAAGAAAATTTTAAAACCATGGTTAATTTCTCAAACGCAGAATCCTCGGGTACCCAGAGCCAACAGTATTTCAAAACACAGAAAGAGACAAAGAAGTAAGCCCATGGAGTTCCTGAGTCACTAGGGCCGATCTTTGTGGCTTTTAAAGGCAGGGTTTCCCTGTGTAGTCCCCGCTGTCTTGGAACTCGCTCTGAAGACCGTGCTGGCCTCGAGCTCACAGAGATCCGCCTGCCTCTGCCTCCCGAGTGCTGGGATTAAAGTGTGCACCGCTGCTGCCGGCTGCTTCCCTCTCAGTTCATGGAAACACTGTCTCGCGGCAGACTGCCTGGTCCCCTAGCTAGCCTTATCACTTACAAGTCTCACATATCTTGCATAGGCCTTCTGTGACACGAGCTGTCTAACTTTGCATCTCATGTGGGAAAAATTCAGCCATCACACTTTAGGACAAAGTCTTTTTTTTAATTTTTGCAAACATTTTACTTATTTACTTTTATGTTTACTTGTATGGATGTTTTGTCTGCATGTATACATGTGCATCACGTGCATGCAGTGCCCAAGGAGGCCAGAAGAGGGCGCGATACCTCTGGGATTGGAGTTAGCATTGTGAGCCGCCATGTGGGTGCTGCAGGATCCAGAACAGGTAGGACAGCTAAAATATTTTCATGTTTACAGCCTTTGAAATATTTCTTTCTCCTTATTAGTTCCTTTTTTAATAGCAGCAGACATATTAACCAATTTATAGACATATTTGAAGACTTATTGTTGAAGCCAATAGTGTCAGCATGGGCACAGAACATCTGTCCTCCCTATAACATATATATATATATATATATATATATATATATATAGAGAGAGAGAGAGAGAGAGAGAGAGAGAGAGATTTGAAGGTTTACCTTTTACCCTCTGATATCTTTAACTTTTACAAGGTCATGGTTGCATACAACCAGCAAGAGGATCATGCACAAAAGGCATATATGCCTTTACCTGTGCCTAACTTGAAATCCTCCCTGCTATATACTTCAGGATGACCAGCTGTTTAAAAATCTGTGTCCACAATCTGTTTGTGTGGCCTTAGGATGGCTGAAACTTGTCTGTTGGGGCCACAGACCAACGAAGTAACTGCTCAATAAATACCTAAGGGCACAGACTTGTTTTCTCAGGTGCTGGGCTCCTTCCTCCATCCTCCAAAGTCACTGCTGGATGATTGCTCCAATCAGGCTCTCCCAAACGCTGCAACCTGGGGCTGGATGTCCCAGGGGGAGCAGCAACCCGCGTTCGCGCTCACCCTCTCCGGGCGCGTATCGCTTTAAGGGCGGCGGGGCTGCGCGCGGGCCTCGCTCTGGGCCGGAGCCTGCGCGTCCGTGTCCCCGGCGAAGGCTGCGTCTGCCGCGGACTCAGGGCGACGAGCAAGCGGGGCGATGCTCAGGTTGCGCGGTTGCTGCGCGCGTCCCCGCGGCGCTCCGGTCCGGAATGAGCGGAGCCGGGCGGGCAGCCGCGCCCTGCGGGTGCTGGTGGACATGGACGGCGTGCTGGCGGACTTCGAGGGCGGCTTCCTCCGGAAGTTCCGCGCGCGCTTCCCGGACCTGCCCTTCGTGGCGCTGGAGGACCGGCGCGGCTTCTGGGTGTCGGAGCAGTACGGACGTCTGCAGCCTGGGCTGAGCGTGAGCACCCGCAGGCCCCTCAGCCGTGCCCCGCGGGAGGGGAAACCGAGGCCGCAGCTGTCCAGCCCCAAGCCAGCCCGACTTCCCCATGACCTCTGGCGGGTCGTTCTGTACTACAGGGCTTCAGGGAGGACCGGGGCCACAGAGCTAGGGGACCCACCGCTCAACAGCCGCAGGCTGGTCACCTGGGCTTCTAGCCCTAAAAAATCTGTATGGATTCTCTCTCCTTCTTTCCCTCCCTCCCTCTCCATCCTCTCTACCCACTTCCCTTTAGAATTGGAGATTGAACCCAGAGTCTCCTGAAGGTTAGACAAACTCTCTGTGACCTACATCTCCAAGCCTTTTACTTTTTTGTCTTTGTCATTGGCTCTCACTAACTTTACTGGCTGCCCTTGGACTAACTCACTCTGTAGCCTAGGCAGGCCTTGAAATTTTGATCCTCCTGCTTCAGCCTCCCAAGAAGCTGAGATCACAAGCCTGTAACACCAGGCTGGGCTTGGGTTTTAAATTCTTGGTGTATTTGGCCTCAGATAATTTGTTACATGGAAAAAAGATAGACTAAGCATTATGCCTCCCTACCCCTACGCAGACATGGCTATTTCTCTCTCCCCACGAATTTGACAGTGTTCTCACCCTCCTCCTGCGCTCCAGTCCGTGGAAGCATATATTTCAGTGATACCGTGGCTAGAGAGTATGACTTTCCGGGTGTCACATGGGGAGTCAGAGTCTTGGTAGAGTCAACTTCCCTCTTGACCTGTATAAGGACCCTGGGCAACCCCTCCCCATGGCTAGACAGCTACCCAGGCTTTTTGGTAGAGAGAATGTAATTTGGAGACTTAAACTACTCTATGAAAGGAACAGGGGAATTTACCCAGCATTTACCTTAGAGAATGAGAGCCATCTTTCAGTTGGCTGCCCAGAGGCCACGGCTAGAGGAGTGGATGGTGAGAAGGTGATATATACCAGGTTAGTAACACCTAGTTTTTCACGTTCTCCAGGGACTGTGATGTCAGTAAGGTAATGAAGGAAAAGACACACAGACAGAAAGCTGGGTACAGCCTAACTGCTCTTTGCTGGAGAAGCCTCAGCACCCCTGGAAGCTCAGGGTATTCATTGTACAGAGTTGGACAGAAAGGCAGGTGCATACAGGTGAACAAGGGGGCTTGGCTTGTGGTGGGCAGTTGGGTCTGGGAGACAGGTTTAGCTCACCTAGGTAGGAGTCATCTGCAGGGGAACAGTCTGCTTGTGGCAAACATCCAGGGGAGAAAGCTGGGGTGGACATTTTCTGCACACACTGTCAAAGGTTTTCCCATGCTCCGGGCCTCATCCCAGTGAGAGGCTTTGCCTTTCCTTCATGGCTCTGCCTCTGTCAGCAACACGCATTCACTCTGGACTTTCTCCAACCCCTGCATGGTCCACTACTTTGTCTTGACTGTAGGAAGATGCTACTGTCTCCACTTTGCACACAAGAAAAACCTGTTCCCACGTCACAGGATAGCAAGGCGTGCAAGTGGGATTCCAACTCAGCAACCTGCCCGCCTGCCGCACGTGTTCCTTTTTTCCCCCACTCTAATGTCCTGTTCCCTGTTGTGCTTTCTCTTTTAATTTCATTAAGGTGCACAGCCCAGTGGTAGAGGATTGCCTAGCAAGTGTAAGATGCTAGAGTTCCTTCCCAGCCCTGCAACTCTGCCCCCAAATCCCAGACCGCTACATAATAAATCAAGCACCTCTACAATAACTTGGTGTATTGAGGTACTGGAAGGGGACATGGGGCCTCATTTCATTCATTCTCAGATGGTATTTCTGCAGACAACTTCCACAGAGCGCCCAGGTAGCTGGCATCTCCCAGTGCTGAGAACTATGAAAAGCTTTAAGGCAAAGGAAACAATCACCTGGGTCACCTCTGTAGCCTCAGCAGTCAGTTACCGCCTTGCACTTGTAGATGACTGACCAGTGCTCAAATTTGGGGGACACAATTTCCTTATGGGATTGTATTAAATTTATTGATTTATTTGTTTAGTTTGATGTGTGTGAGTGTTTCGTCTGCATGTATACATGGTATGCTATGTGCAGTTCTGGTTTACGAAGGTCAGAAGAAGGTATCAGAGCCTTGGAACTGGAGTTCCTTGCAGATGTTTGTGAGCCACCATGGAGGTGCTGGTGATTGAACGTAGATCCTGTGCAAGAACAAGTGCTCTGAACCACTGAGCCATCTCTCCAGCCCCGGGAATACATTAATGGGATAAAATAAAATCTACCCAGACTCTGCAAGTAGTCTTGCTCTAAACCAGCACCATCAAGAAGAAGAGGAAAAGAAGAAGACTGCAACAAAGACTTAGCAGTTTTAGCTTAGTGGTCGCAATTACATAGGCTGCATGAGGCCCTGGGTTTCATCAACAGCACCGTAAAACAAGGAAATGGTGCAGCGGCTCAATAGCTCTTTGTATAGCTACTCCAGGCCCAAAGGGACCAATTCCCATCTTCTAAGTGCAAGGTGAGAGAGCACAGGGAAGAAGGAGGGGATGGGAGGAATCATTGATTTCCACCTCATTCCTTTTCCAAGCCTCAGCTCACTGAAGGATCCCCCCGAGCCTGCTTGTGACCTAGTTGTCTGAAGTATCAGTGGTTAAACCTAACAGTCTAGGTATAATGGCTGCACTCATTTTTACTTTGTGTTCTTACCCCTTGGTATTGGGAAAACCCATTCCAGGACCCCCATGGTACCAAGTCTATAGATGCTCAGGCCCTTTGTGTAAAATAGCATGTATTGTATATGACCTGTATAGTCCTACATAGGTCAGCCCTGCTGTAGGAGACATAATATGAGTGCAGTGTGAATGCCATGGAGATGGTTTTAAATACTGAATGCAATACTGGGAGTAATGACATAGTAAAAGCCCTCTGAGCGTTCAGTACATAGTAACTCCCCCTAGTATTTTTGTCTGTGGTTCTTTGAATCCATGGATGTAGACTCCGTGGCTCCAAAGAGTCGAGGAGTACCTTTGTCTTGATTCCTTTCAGTTTCACAGTACTCTTGGAAGGAAAGCAGGCTGAGGTGGAAAGAAAAGCTCATTTTAGCTGTCTTAGACTTCTCAGTTGTTAGGACAGAGAACTAAGCCCAGAGAGGGCACTGCCTCTACCAGTGCTTCCCAGGGAGCTGGGAAGCCAACTACAGGCTTGGCGTTGGAACCCCGTGTCTGTCCTGTCTCACCAGGACTTTGGGAGGAAGAGATGGGTCTTGTCTTTGTGTTCTTGGTGAGAAGCTCTTTGAGAGTGGTGACCAGCCCAGAGTTGGCCCACAGCAAGGGTCATACTGACTCCATATGTGAGTTCAAGTCCTGACGGCATTACCCCGAAGTGGCCTTGAAGGAAATCATGCTTTTCTTAAATTGTGGACCAGCAATCTTTGGTCCTTGTAGGCTGTAAGGGTGGAACTTGAGAATGTGTCTCAGTATCAGTGTGCTTGCTCAGCCCGTGTCGTTGACAAGGGGATGGGTGCTCTTTAACCAGGCATTGGTGTTCCTGTGCCGCACACATGGATAGCACTGAGATGCTCCGCTCTCGGAGGCTGAGATGTCTTACTTCCCCCTTGCCAGGCCCTAGGGGAGATCTGGCCAGCACTCTGGGAACATGAGCTCTGACCTACTCATACATGGTAGAAAGGGGATCCTTACTCAGCCACTGTTTTGCTGTATGGCATCAGTTTTACTATAGCTAAAAAGAGGGTTTGTATTTCTTTCTGAGATAGGGTTTTATTTTGTTGCCCAGCCTGACCTCTCAAGTAATGGGACTAGCATGGGCCATTAGGCCTGGCACAGGGTCTGGATTTTGGCTTTCAAATTTATAAGCAACAAAATCCTTTTTTGGGAGGCAGAGGCAGGTGAATATCTGAGTTCAAGGCCAGTTTAATCTCCATAGAGAGTTCCAGGACAGACAGAGCTACACAGAGAGATCCTATCTCAATAAAATAAAATAATGTCTTGGTTCCTAGCACATAAGCCAGGTGAGAGCACAGCTGTTCTGATCGGTGTGATGAAGCACCTGGGGCCTTCCTAGCTGTCCGTTTCTCAGCTTACCGTGTTTCTATCCTTGAGGACCATGGTGCACTTCGGGATCTCTGAGTTCCTTCAGCTTCCAACCCTAATGGCTCTTTCATTGTGGCCATGCATCCATTCCCTCGGCCCCTGCTGTGTGCTGTGCGCTGTGTGCTGTGCACAGTGTGCTGGCTGTGCTAGGCAAGCCTAGCGCACGTGTACTTTGTGAAGACTGTCCTCAACCTGAGAACACCAGGTGGCTTTCCCCGAACTGACACCTTAGTTTGTCTCTGCTGTGTCCTAAGAGAAGTCACATCCTTTCTGAGAGGGGGGATCCAAGCACATGCCAACTCCTTGTGATTCCCCCAGGACATGGGGTCTGCAGTGAGTGTAGGGAGCCTTGAACCCCCTTCCCACCTAGTAGCAGCCCCGCTCAGCTGTGTGTGTTTCCAAGAGGAGGGTGGTGGGACAGTGGGGACCTGGAGGTGACTTGCTTTTTTGACTTCTTAGGAGAAAGCCGTCAGCATCTGGGAGTCAAAGGATTTCTTCTTTGAACTTGAGCCTCTGCCAGGAGCCGTGGAAGCTGTGAAGCAGATGGCCAACCTGCAGAAGTAAGTATGCCTTCCTGCCTTGGGCCTCTATCTTTAGCTTGCTGTTTTGCCTTTCTCTCCTCGGCCCTACAGAGGCCCATTACGTTGTCATTGCTGACCCTGGCAAAAGACCTTGTAGGCACATGCTGTGGGCACCAGCATGGGCTTTGCCCACCAGGGAAGTCTGGCTTGCCGTTGTGAAGTAGCCACACAGGGTGGAAGAGCCTATTCAGTTGTCAAGTGCTGAACAAAGGGGGAGCAGCAGGCCTCACCTGGAAAAGGGGGTTCAGAAAGGACAGAGTATCATCTTGTTCTGGAGAACTGAGAGCTTGTGTGTGGTGAAGCCCTCACTCAGCACCCACCCCCTACTGTCCTCTGGAGCCTATTGGAGCTGTGGACAGTGTGCGTCCCTGAGAGCTTTTACAGCCTTATTGACGAACTCCACACCGTGTGGCTTCCCCATTTCAAACGTACAGTTTGGCTTTTAGAACACTTACAAAGTCATGGAGCCATTGCTACTGTCAATTTCAGATTTTTCTTCACCCCCTAAAAGAAAATGTCAAACACATTAGCATACTGCTCATTCCTGCCCTTCTATGGTTCCTTAAAAGCCACTAATCCACTTTCTGCCTCCCGGCCTTTGCCTGTTACAGACAGTTCATATAAGTGCTGCCATCTAGTGTGTGGTCTGGCTTCTTAATGATTTTAAGGTTTATCAGTTTTGTAGTAGCTGCCAAGGCTCACCGTTTTAATCTTGTGAGTGTGTGACAGGGGTTGGGGAGGGGGGAATTCAGGGCATTTTGTATGACAGGTGAGTGCTGTAACCATTGAGCTACACCCCCAATCGAGTACTTACGCTTTTGACAACCGAATAGTTCTCAATGTATAGACATTCTGTGTGTCCATTCATTAGCTGGTGGATGTTTGGACCTTCTGACTCTGTGAATAGTGCTGCTGTGGACATTAGTGTTAGCATTTGTTTGAACATTTGAACACTTGCTGTTACTTCTTTGGGGTATAATCAGAGTAAAACTTCTAGGTCATAGGATAATTATATTTAATGTTTTAAAGACCCATCAGGCTATTTGCCATTACTTTCAGGAAGACTGCAGTTTCTTGATGTGTTTATCACCACTCATTACTGTCTTTTATTTTTTTGCTGTCCTGGCGGTGGCTGTGACTGTGGGTCTCTCATTGTGGCTTTTCTTTTTCCTGTGTTTTCTTTAAGATTTTAACTTTAGCTCTTAAACAAATCATTTTATTTTAGGTGTATGGTGTTTCATCTGCATGCGTGTCTGTGCCCCACATGCATGTTTGGTGCCTGTAGACAGCAGATGAAGGTGCCAGATTCCTTGGAACTGGAGTCACAGATGGTTCTGAGCCAGTGCTGGGAATAAACCCGGATCCTCTGGAAAAGCAACCGGTGTTTTTAACTGCCAAGCCATCTCTCCAGCCCCTTAACTTTGGGTCTTACTTTCAGATCATGATCCTGCCTATCTTTCTATCTAATCTGTCTGTCTGTCTATCTTTGTGGTGCTGAGGCTGTCTGTCTGTCTATCCATCCATCTATCTATCTATCTATCTATCTATCTTTGTGGTGCTGAGGATTGAACCAAGGGTTTTGTGCATGCTAGGTATCATAGTTACTTTTCTATTGCTGTGAAGAGACACCATAACCATGGTAACTTATAAAAGAAAACATTTAATTGGGATATTGCTTAAAGTTCCAGAGGGTGAGTCCATATCATCGTGGTGGGGAGCACGGCGGCAGGCAGGCAGGCAGGCAGGACACTGGAGCAGTAGTTGAGAGCTTATATGTTTTCTTCAGGATGGAGGCAGAGAGATTGAAATTTGTCCTGGTGTGGGCTTTTGAAACCTCAGAGGCACTCCCAGTGATACACCTCCTCCATCAAGGCCCCACCTCCTCCAGCTAGGCCCCACCTCCTCCAGAAAGGCCACACCCCTCCAGAAAGGCCACACCTCCTCCATCAAGGCCACACCTCCTCCAGCAAGGCCCCACCTCCTGAACTTTAATAAACAGTCCACCAGCTAGGAACCAGACATTCAAATGTGTGTGCCTGTGGGGCCATTGTAATTGTAATTCAAACCACCAGACTAAGTGGATGCTCTGGTTATGCCCCATTTCCTCTGGTCCTTTTTTTTTTCCCAGATAGGTTCTCACTAGTAGCTCTGACTGGCAAGGAGCTTGCTGTGTAGATCAGACTGACCTTGAACTAATGGAGATCCACCTGCCTCTGCCTCCTGAGGGCTGGGATCAAAGGCACACACCACCATGCCCAGCTCTTCTCTATGTGCTGTGAGTCCGGAAGAACTACTTTTGTGTGTGAGTATCTAGTAAGCCCAGCTCCTTTTGTTGAGAAGACTGTTATTTCTCCCATTAAATTAATTGTTTTGGCACCCAGTTTAAAGTAAATTGACCCAAAATATAAGGGTTTACTTTGAGATTTGCCCATGATATTTCTTTAAATGTAACAAACTGAATGACATCAATGTGATACGGTCTTCATTGTGCTGTATATAAATGCCTCTATTACTCTCCACTTCCAAATTCTAGTATGAGGCTGGTGGGGATGGTTTGCTGCCACGTTTGAGTTTAACCTCAGAATCCACACAATAGAAGGAACAAACCTATTCTGGTAAATTATCCTCTGACCTCCACATGTGTGTCCCACACACAGTAAATGTGTAAATTAAAATCTGACAAAATGCAGATCTGTTACCACCTGGGGCCAGAGGAGGTGGGAATGGGTACTGATTGCTTAATAGGGTTTCTTCTGTAGGTACTAGAAATATTCTAAAAGTTAAGTTGCAGTTGTGTTAGTAAAACCCTTCAAATACACTAAAATGTATTTAATCATATACTTTAAATGGATAAATATTATATTATATGGATTATATCTCAGTACAACTTAAAATCAGGCTAGGAGTAGTGATACACACCATAACCTCAGCCTCAAGAGGCAGAGATTGGCGGATTCCTGTTGAGTTCAAGGCCAGTCTGGTTTATATAACAAGCTCCTGGTCAGCCAGGACTACATGGTGAGACCCTGTCTCACAAACCATATAAAACAAACAACAACAATCCCTAAAATAAAACAAAAAAATGTTAAAATTAGTTTGACTTTTAAAAAGATACAAACTGGGTGCGCCCATCCACTGAGACGGTGGGGCTGATCTAATGGGAGCTTACCAAGGCCAGCTCGACAGGAACTGAAAAAGCATGGGATCACACTGGACTCTCTGAACGTGGTGGACAGTGAGGGCTGACTGAGAAGTCAAGGACAATGGCACTGGGTTTTGATCCTACTGCATGTACTAGCTTTGAGGGAGCCTAGTCTGTTTAGATGCGCACCTTCCTGGACCTGGATGGAGGGGGGGGGAGGACCTTGGACTTCCCACAGGGCAGGGAACCCTGACTGCTCTTTGGACTGGAGAGGGAGGGGGATGGGAGGGGGGAAGGGGAAGTGAAATGGGAGATGGGGAGGAGGCGGAAATTTTTAATAATAATAATATACAAACTGGGGCTGGAGAGATGGCTCAGAGGTTAAGAGCATTGCCTGCTCTTCCAAAGGTCCCGAGTTCAATTCCCAGCAACCACATGATGGCTCACAACCCACTGTAATGGGGTCTGGTGCCCTCTGCTGGCCTGCAGGAATACACACAAACAAAATATTGTATATATAATAAATAAATAAATATTAAAAATAGATACAAACTGCTAATATGTTCATTTAGCAGTGTGACTGAATTATTGACTGAGTGCAAGAAGCCAGACAGGAAAGCAAACTCCAGATGAAGTTCTAGGACATACAAAAGCAATCTGTAGTGGAGAATACAGCTGGGTGGAGAGGGTGTCTTCTGCCCTTGACCACGGTGATCCCTCTTTGTGGCATTCATATCCTACAATTTACCAAAAATTTCTTTTTTAATAAGTTCAGTTTTCAAAACTTTTTATATTTTGTGTGTTTACCTGTATGTATGTGTATCACATGCATGCTTGCATGTCAGCTGTATCTCAGTAAAACTGTTTAAAACCAACCAGTTTGAGCCAGATGGTGCCTTGTGTAGACCCATCTACTCAGAAGTCAGAGGGATTACATGAGCACAGGAAATCAAGGTGAGTCAGGACAATAAAAAGTCTGTCTGTGCCTCCTCCCCACATAAAGGGTTAGTTTGGATGGAGGAGTTAGAATTGACCAGGCTGTCTGTATCGCGGTTAAAGAGTTGAGCGTAGGCAAAGCTTGGGACTGAGAGTTGAACAAGTCATTCTAAGCTCTGGAGTAGGGAGCATGTGGTGGCAGCAGGGCAGGATGGGGAGATGGCTGTGTGGCCCGGACCTCAGCAGTCAGGTGCTGGAAGGAGCAGGGAAGAAGAGGAAGGCAGCTTGTCTTCCTTCCCACTGAGGCTTGGGGGTGTGAGGAAAAGCTTGTCTACAGCCGGACCTCCGGTGAGGCAGCTTTCAGAGAGGCTGGGCAGATACTGTCACCCTGCCAACAGTGTCATCTCTGCACCTGATGTTTTCCTGAACACTGAGCAGGAACAAGCAAAATCCCCAGAGGCCACCAGACAGGCTTCCACAGAACTCCCCAGGGACTAATTTGCCAAAGAGAGTTGGAGAAACAATACTCTTCCTGACTTGATGGGCCAGCGCATACAGGTGCCAGAGCAGAACACAATGCTGTGACTCTTTGGGACAGGATGATGTTGCTGGTTGGGCATCCAGTCTGTGGGTGTGAGGAGGAACAAGCACCTGGGAAGCCCTTTTTGGCAAGGATCAGCAACCCAGAGCTGTGATGGTGCATTTATCATGCAAAGCCCATGTCCCCTACCCTGTGAGGCCACAGGGCAGGAGAGCTTGTCTCAGTGGAGCCTGGCTCCCTTCCTCCTCCATCACCCGACAGTCATAGCCAGGTGATGGAGGTAGCAGGTGATGGAGGGTAGCAGGTGATGGAGGGTAGCAGGTGATGGAGGGTAGCAGGTGATGGAGGTAGCAGGTGATGGAGGGTAGCAGGTGATGGAGGGTAGCAGGTAATGGAGGTAGCAGGTGATGGAGGGTAGCAGGTGATGGAGGTAGCAGGTGATGGAGGGTAGCAGGTGATGGAGGGTAGCAGGTGATGGAGGGTAGCAGGTGATGGAGGGTAGCAGGTGATGGAGGGTAGCAGGTAATGGAGGTAGCAGGTGATGGAGGGTAGCAGGTGATGGAGGTAGCAGGTGATGGAGGGTAGCAGGTGATGGAGGTAGCAGGTGATGGAGGGTAGCAGGTGATGGAGGGTAGCAGGTGATGGAGGGTAGCAGGTGATGGAGGGTAGCAGGTGATGGAGGTAGCAGGTGATGGAGGGTAGCAGGTGATGGAGGGTAGCAGGTAATGGAGGTAGCAGGTGATGGAGGGTAGTTTTCTTTCAACCAACTGGGGATGCAGTTCTCTTTCATCTGTCTATGGGGTCTGCAGTATTTTTCGCTTTATTTTCTCCCTCCTCCCTTTCTGGTGCAGAAGAAGAAACCCAAGGCCTTGTGACACATCTTTTCTACCATTGAGCCCCCAGCCCTCTGCATCCTTTCAGTGCTGTGCCTGTTACCAATGCTTCTTTCTCTCCCCGTTTTCTTACTCAACAAGAGTATGCATTAACCCAGCTAACCTTCTGGGTCTAGTCCTCTAAAATTGCCCACCTCAGAGTTTGTTGCCTATGATCAGGGTGTATCATTGTGGCTTCCCAGGACCTTTGAATCAGGCAGAAATTACAAGCTGTAGCCTCTTGTGGGGAAGATCAGAACAGTGGGTTTTCCCGTGACAGGTACGGGCTTAGACCCTGGCAGGGCTCCTCTAGCAGAGGTGGGCAGTGCACGGTGATGTGGAGATAACCCTACGGCTCACTGTCCTTTCTCTCCCGGCAGCACTGATGTCTTCATCTGCACAAGCCCCATCAAGATGATCAAGTACTGTCCCTATGAGAAGGTAAGGAGTCCATCCCAGGCGAGGGCTGCTGTGTGGCACAGGGCCCCGTCATGGTGCTCCCTGCCTCTCTGTACCAGCCGGAGGCTCTGTCTCATGTGCTGGATGGATGTGTGACAAGCTAGGTGGGAAGGGTACCTGTCACACTTATCAGATATGCCTGGTCCAGGAAAGTCTGGTAAAGCGGGGATGAAGGAGAGAACCATGTTTAGGGAGGGGTCAGAAGCTCAAGGACATCCCTGCGTGAACAGAGTCCTCTCATTCATTCCCACACTCACTCCTGTGGTTCTGGGACTGGAACTCAGAGCATCCTGCCTGCCAGGCAAGCGCTCCCCCACTTAGCGCCATCCTCAGGCTTATGTGAAAAGTCTGACCAAGAGCTGGCGTGGTGGGCTAAACTGTAATCCCAACACTCAGTAGGCTGAGACAGGGGGATTGCTAATCCAGGCCTGCCTGTGCTACTTAGTAAATTTGAGGCCAGTTTGGGCTACAGTGAAATTGTTATGCCACCCTCCCAAAACAAAACAAAACAGAAAGAACATCTAAGCAAGGAAATGTGAGTTTTTTTTCTGTGAGCTCCTTTGTCTAATGAGAGAAGCAGAGTGGTAGCAGTGGGGAGCTCTCCGCACATTAGAAGCTGCAGGCTGCACTCTGCAGGGAGGATTGGACCCCACACCTTGCGGTTTCTCAGATGCTGCTATGGACTCAGGAGGCTGGCCTCCCATCTTCATGCTGAGGCCTTCTGAGCATCTCTATGTTCCTCTTTTTCTACACCTGCTGTCCTCGCCTGAAGCTGTTTGTGTGCCCTGCTCCAGAAAGAGCCCACACTCAGGCAGTTACTGTGGGTTATGTGGGCAGTTGCTGGGTCAGCTGGTGGTCATCCCGACCCCTTTGAACTTTCAAGGCTAAGCTCATTTTAGCCCAAGGGAGTGGGTGTTCAAGCCACAGCTCCTGGGGGTGGAGTGAGGAGCAAAGGCTGGGTCCTCTCTTCATATCAGGGCACCAATCCACAAAGGAGGTTCTGGACCAAGTAGGGACTGGTTAGAAACGGACATTTCAGTAACATTGACCTTTAGAGTTAGAAACTCTGGGAGTGGCACTGTGGTCTCAGCCAACTTGCCAGGTGGTTCTGCTAGACCCCGAAACTTGAGCCACTAAGGTCAAGTGGTTGGATGACTGGCCAGTACAGGCACCCTGGTTGGCTGTCAGAATCTACAGACACTTGAGTTCCTTTATAGAAACTCTGGTGGTATTTACACACCTCCCCATCCTTGAGTACTGAAGCCATCCCCAGGTGACTCCAGCACCTCATGCAGTTATGCATACCTTTGCTGCAGTTGCTCTACAGTTTTGCATGGGGAGCGATGATGAGAAGTCTGTAAAAGTTCAGTTTAGCTGCGGTTCCTGGTTTCCATTGCTCATGCTGTGCCTTGTGCTGTATACCGGCTCTACTAGCAGTGTGCTCTTCCCCTGGCCTTCCTCTGGCCCTCCATGTAAAATGGATCCTGTTTCCTGTGGATTCTGTTTCTGAAACATGTCTGGCATCTTTCTGCTTCTCTTATTGCTGCCCCTTTGAATTTCTTTGAAGAACTAATGAGACCTCACTAATGGATCATGTTCAGCCCCATGCTCATTTCTTCCCTATAAAAAGCCTGGCCCCATAGCCTGCCTGGCTCTTTCCATCTGAGGAGCCCCCACCCTTCTGTGTTTTATGCTGTCCTTGACTTGTAGTATGGTTTGAATGTGAAACACCCTCCATAGACTCATGTGACCGCTTAGCCCCTGGTTTGTGGTGCTGTTGTGAGTTGTGGAGCCTTTAAGATATGGGGTCTGGCTGGTGAATGTGGGTTACTGGGGGCAGGTTTATGGGCTGGAAAGCCCACTTCCAACTTGAGATTCTTGTATCTCTGTTTCCCAGATGTGGGCAAGCTTTCCCATGCCTTCCCTGCCATAATAGATTGTGTGTCCTCAAACCATAAGCCAGAACCGATCCTTTCTTCCTAAGTTTGTTCTTCCAGGTTCTTCACTGCACTGACAAGCAAAGTAACCAATGCAGTTAGCAATGTCCCTCTCTTCTGCACGCCTCTGGTCAGATGCTCACCGATTTGCCTTGTCCCTCTCCTCTGCGTGCCTCTGGTCAGATGCTCACCACATTTGCCGACCGCCATCTCTGACATTCATTCATCCTCTATGTCATAGCAGAGGCATAGCTGTCTTGGTCCTGGTTTTCTGTACACCACTCAGAATGGCTCTTCTTGTTCCGGAATTATTTTTTGTCTCCTACCAGACTGAGATCTGCGAAGGTGCTAGCTATCTTCTTCCTCAGTACAGAGCTAGGCACCTGAGGACCACTTGAATAGATCCACTGTTCAACAGAAAACTATCAAAAACATTTTCAAAGTATTTTTGAAACCCATACAAAAGTATTTATATCATTTCTACCCGTCCTCCCCCTCCAACAACACTTCCCCTGCTCTCCCTCCCTCTCAAATTCATAAGCTCTTTTTTAATTGTTCTTAGAGGCAGGATTCCCCTGAATAGTCCTGCTGGCCTGGATCCTGCAATTCTCATACTGCAGCCTTCCAAGATTACAGGTGTGAACTACCCCTGGCTTAGCAGAGTCATTTTTTTTAATTAAAAAGTTTTAATATACCATATGGTCACATATATTTGGTCACATTCTTCCCATCCCCCACAAGCTCCCAGATCCCCCCCACCCATCCCATTTCATATTCTTTTTCTCTCTTAAAAAAAATACAAAACCAAAACAAACAAGGCACAAGAAGAAAAGAAAGAAAATAAGACAGAACAAACAAAACATGGATTCTGTTTTATATTGGCCAACTATTCCTGAGCACGCAGCCTGCCTGGCATGTGGTTAATACTTTAATTAAATGAAATAGATTTCTCCCCTCCTAGTAGCTCTCAGTTACAAATAACTTCTTGGTTCAGGGTGGGACTCAGTGCCCGCTTCTCCTTCTCCATGCTGGGATTTTGTCTGTTTGGAACTTGTACAGGTCTTTTGAGTGATCTGAGTTAAGGTTTCTACTGCTATGACCAAAAGCAACTTGGAGAGGAAAGGGTTTATAGACTTTACATATCCTGAGTCATAATCCACGGAGGGAAGCCAAGGTAGGAGCTCAAACCTGGCAGGAACCTGGAGGCAGGAGCTGATGCAGAGGCCATGAAGGAATGCTGCTTATTGGCTTGTTCCTCGTGACTTGCTCAGCCTGATTTCTTACAGAACTCAGGTACCAGAGGTCATACCACCTACAGTGGCCTGGGCCCTCCCCCATCAATCACTAGTTAAGAAAATGCTCTAAAGGCTTGCCTACATCTGATCCTGTGGAGGCATTTTCTCAACTGAAGTTTCTTCCTCTCAGATGGCCATAGATTTTTGTCAAATTAGTATAAAACTAGCTAGTGCAAGGATGCTGTCACAGTCTCTGTGAGTTCATCTGTGCATTGTCCCTGTCATGTCTTGGAGACACAGTTTCTTTGAAGTTGTCCACTACCTCTGGGTCTTAAAATCTTTCATCTTCTTCTTCTTCAGTGTAGATCCTTGAGTCTTGAAAGGAGGAGTTGGATAAAGACATCCCATTGAGTGCTCAAAGGTCTCTGTCTCTGCACATTTTCTGTTTTTAGGTCTCTATGTTAATTACCATCTACTCTAAGAAGAAGCTTCTCGATGTGGGTTGAGAAGGGCACCAGTCTACGGGGTTTAGCTATGTGTGATTAGGAGTTGTTTATTGTTGTGTTGTTCATTTAGCAGAATAATTGCAGTAGATTCCTTAGGGCCCATGACCTATCTAGTCTCAAGTTCTTGGCCTCACTAACCATCTCGGGTATGGGTCCTATCTCATGGAGCTGACCTTATAGCCCATCAAAAGCTGGTTGGTTTCTTCTATAACATTTGTGCCAGTATGGCCCCAGTGGGTATAGCTTTTAGGATCTGTAGCTGGGTGAGATTGATGATTACGCTTCTCCTTAGGGATTAAGTATATTACCTTCTAGCACTATAAACACACTCGTCAGTAGCAGTGAAGCTTCTAGTTGAGCACCAGCTTAATTTCTCTGTTTGATGATATACGTGTGTGATGTCTTCAGCAATAGGGCCTTACCATCAGGATTTCCTAATACTAACCCTGACGTATGTACAGCTGGTGAAAACCTTTTTCCATTCTGTAGGCCGTCTCTTTGCTTGATCGATGGTGTCCTTTGCTTCCAGAAGCTTTTTATCTTTTAACTGAGTTATTTATTTTCTTATGACCAGCTTTTTGAATACTTATATATTGTAGACATTAGCCCTCTAGTGGATGTGAAGTTGGTAGAAACCTTTTCCCATTCTGCAACCTGCCACTTTGTCTGAATGATGGTGTCCTTTGCCGTATAGAAGCTTCTCAGTTCACGAGGTCCCATTTATTAATTGTTGATCTTAGTGCCTGTGCTAATGGTGTTCTGTGCCTACGAGTTCAAGTCTATTCCCTACCTTCTCTTCTATAAGATCCAGGGTGTCTGGCCTTATGCTGATGTCTTTGAAGCAGTTGGATTGGAATTTTGTGCAGGGTGCTAGAGATATGGATCTATTTTTATTCTTCTATAGGCAGCTTTCCAGATTTAACTATTTGTTTGTTTGTTTTATTCTTTCTTTTTTTTTGAGACACAGTTTCTCTGTGTAGCTTTGGAGCCTCTCCTGGAACTCACTCTGTAGACCAGGCTGGCCTCAAATTCACATAGATCCACCTACCTCTGCCTTTCAAGTGCTGGGATTAAAGATGTGTGCCATTACTGGTTGGCAGCTATTTCTGAAACATAGAAATTTTATACTTTTCACTGTAATATGTAGGTTATGATCCACTTTTGATTAATTTTTTACATGGAGGGGAATTAGCGAAGGTAAAGGCTCTGCTTTGTCTTACAGGTGTATGGTTCTAGTTATTTCTCTCCTGGGGAGGCAGTCTGGGCTTTTTTATTCCCTGGTCTCATTCTGACATTCTGAATGGGTTCACTAATCCATATCTCTCTTGTACTGTCTTGAATACTAGCATTTCATAGTAATTTCAAAGCAGCCAAATTTCCCAACATTATTCTTTAAGTAATTTTTAAACTATAAAATTAAACTATAGTTATAGTCAGGTATGGTGGGCACGTGCCTTTAATTCTATCACTCAGAAGGTAGAGGTAGACAGATCTGTAGACCAGGCTGGCCTTGAACTCATAGAGGTCCACCTGCCTCTGCATCCACACACAATCTTCCCATCCATGCGATAGAAGGTGCTTGCATTAGTCAGGGGTCTCCAGAGGAACAGCACTGATAGGATGAATATCCACTTATGGGATTTATTAGAGTGGCTCACAGGCTGTGGTCCAGCTAGTCCAACGGTGGCTGTCTACTGATGGAGAACCCAAGAGTCCAGTAGTTGTTCAGTTCACAAGGCTGGTGTCTCAGCTGGTCTTCATTGTATCTGGAATTCGGAAGAAGTAGGCTCTAATGTCAGAGAAGGAATGGACTTGCCGGCAAGATCAAGAGAAAGCAAGCAACGAGAGCAAGCTTCCTTCTTCCATGTCCTTCATACAGGCTACCAGCCGAAGGTGCAGCCCAGATTAAAGGTGGATCTTCCCACCTCAAGAGATCTGGATTAAAGGTGGGCTTTTCTGCTTTAAATGACTTAATTAAGAAAATTTCCTCACAGGTGTACTCAGCTGCTGGGTTTTAGTTAGAGGTCATCAGAATCCCAGAAGAACAGCCATCTCAATGCTCTAGTTACCACACATGGACCAGGCAGCTGTCCAGGGATAAGCAAGGCTCAGAAGCAGAGCAGTAGCATGCCCGTTTAGAAGGGGTAGCTCTGACTGTCCCGGCCGTAGTCCGGGTGCTCAGGCAGGGGTCGGAGCGCTCCTCCAGATACAGGCAGGAGAGTGCAGTGGTGGGATCCGTCGCTGGTCCTCGTTGAACTTCAGTTCCCTCATCTGTACAGAGTCCACAAACCACGGCACTATTTCCTTTGTGCAGCTTCTCCTTGGCTTGTAGACAAGGCCACACCAGAGACAAGAGCCCCAGAGACCGACCGGGTTCTTGTGGTTTGATGCTGATGCTGCACCCAAGCCCATGATTATCACCCACAGGGGTGCTGGCCCTGGTGAATTGGAATTAACAAAGGGAATAAAACTTCCCAGCTCTGTGATTTGTTCATGAAACATGGTGCTCAGGGCCCAGACCCTGTCCTGCCTCAGAACCCTGGCACCACTAAGCCCGAGCTGTATTAGTTGTGGAAGAAGCCCAGGAGTCTCCCTGGTTCTTTAGTTTGTCTAGTACAGTCAGGCCAAGAGCTGCAGGAGTGGGAAGGATGTCTGCACCCAGGTTGCCGTGAGGGTAAGAAGGCAATGGGCATGAAGCACACTTACATGAGCAGCCCTTGTTTGTCTTCCAGTCTTGCCTCTGTGTCACCCCCATGTCAACACCAGGGTCGCCTGTGTCTTCTCTGTGACCTGACCCCACTCAGGGAGGCATCCCAGGGACTCAGCCCATCCACTCCCCCTCTGCCTGGGGCAGCGTCCTCACCTGGCTAAGTTCCTTTATGAGCCTAATGGGAGCCTGTTTCCCTGCAGTGGGAATCTGTCTGGGAAGATGGCCAGTAGGACCTGCAGGGCCTCACTGAAGGCTTGGCCATGAAGCCTTTCCAGTTGGAGTGGCCACAGACAGTCTGTCCAGAAAGGACTGTTTCTCCTTCATTGGACATTTGGACAGGTGTCTGAAGAACTACCGTCCCTGTCCTAAAGGGTGCCAGCGGCTACTGAGGCAGATTGCAGGGATACAGATAATGTGACCACAGTTGTGCCCATTGCCTGGAGGGATGAGGAGTGTGGAGGTGAAGCAGAGGGGGACAGTTGTAGGAACTTGCTGTGTCAGGGGAGAAGCGTGCCTGAAAAGTGTGTGTGAGTGTCTTGTCTGTTGGTACATGGTGCATGCGTGTGTGTGGTTAAAGACCTGAAGAGAGAGAACTGTCTGAAAATGAAGGTTACATTGTGAGGCCTGGGGGTGCACATGGAACAGGGCAGGGCCATGCAGCCCTCTCTTTAGGCTGTGCTCTGTTCTCCAAGTCCTTCCTGTGCTAGAGGTCACTTGGAGCCATATGTAGTCTGCTCATATGTCTGCCCAAGTCACATGGACCACAGCCAGGACTAAACGGACCTGCCCGAGGCTTTGCTGCAGTGGCTACACAGCCCTTGGGAGGTCATCCCATGTGAGCCAGTAGCACGCTGACAGCCATCTTCTAACCTCTGACTGCTGTTGGTTCTCACGGTGGGGCCAGATGAATCAGGCAAAGGCTCCTGTTTCCTTCTGCTGGAAGCTGCCCTGACTAAAGTCCATACCTGTCTTGGTCTTGGTCTATGAGCAGATCAAGGAAGATTTAGAAGGGTAACCAGATGGTTAGATGCAGCCACACCCTGTGCAGAGTGGCACAACTGTGAACCTCAGGCCCAGGGCCACTCATCCCTCTTCTGGTTCTCCCAACATGGCTACTCAGGCCTTGTCTGCTGCTAGCCTCACACTAGTGTGGTGAAGGAGGGAAGGCTGTTTTCCCTGTTCCCAGAGTGTCTTAGGAAAGAGAGGCAGTCCAGAGCCCCACCATGGCGAAGGCAGTGTGGCCTGCCAGATTGCACAGTGTTCTGTCAGTGGTAGCTGTTCCCGTGGTCTGATAGTTGTTCCTGTCTGTCAGTCCTGCAGACACCTGCACTCCGTGTGCCTGGGACATCGGCCGTCTGTAGCACCCCTCTGCACTGATGTGACTCAAACCGTCCACCCCCCCTCCCCAGTATCAAATCATGCATGGTTTGAATCCGCCTGTCTCTGCCTTTATTCCCAGCAGAGACATTGGGCAGATCTGCTGGTTATTTCTCTTGTGAGTCGGCCGCCTCAGGAAGTCACTAAGCCCCAGGACACAGTGGCAGCCAGCATGACTAACCTCTGATAGAGTGCTGAGAGCATTCTGTGCTGCTCTGGGGCTGTCAGGTCTGGGTCTGAGTCATGACCCTTCTGTAGTCTCCCGAAGAGTGTGCAGGTACACAGCTCCCAAGTGACAAATTCCTGGGCGTAGAGCTGCCTAAGCTGGCCCTCTGTATTAGCTTCCTTCCCTTCAGAGTACTGGGTTCTAGGTTGAGCTCTGTCTGATGTCATCTCCTCTGCTACCTCCAGTACGCCTGGGTGGAGAAGCACTTCGGCCCTGACTTTCTGGAACAGATTGTGTTGACCAGAGACAAGACCGTGGTCTCTGCCGACCTTCTCATAGATGACCGGCCGGACATCACAGGCAAGTAGTCTCTGGCCGGGGGAAGCTGGGTAGCCCTAGTTGCCTTCTCCCTTCTCCCACATACCTCCTCCGGGGGTCTCCTCATCTCACATACCCTTTTACCAGGTGTTCAGCAGCACTCAGTCAGGGGCTTCTTCCTGTTGGAAAGGCCTGCCTGCACCCTAGGGACAGGGGGCTACTGGAAGCCAGAATGTCTGTGCTTTTACCCAAACTTAGTTCACTCCGTTGTCTCTCCTGAGTGAAGAACCCAGCTTTGGTTTCAAACCTTTGTGTTTAGTAACTCCCTGCCCCCTCTTCCCCTCAGGTAGTGCAGGCAAGTCTGTTACATAACAGGAAATCACAGTATGCTCCATGGCTGCCAGTGGCTTGGGCAGTGTATTTGTTCTTTTTTCGGCTCCGGCTAATGACCCCTTCCCAGAAAACAAGCAAGCCGCTAGCTTGGCTCACTTAACTGACGCGGTAGGGTGGAGGGAGGGCTTCGGGCGTGGTGAGATTTGGGAGTTCCATTAGTCAGCCCACACTGTTTTGTGCCTCCTGGATGTCTTCTGCCTTGTTTTGCCGCACTGTGGGCAAGCTGTTTCCTCCTAGTAGTTCTTTGGAGTTGCAGGTAACAGCTTGTTCTGGACACATTGGTAGGAAAACAGTTTCTTCCCCTGCAAAGTCTTCCAGAAGCTTAGGGCAACATGACCCATGGGCTTCAGCCACAGGAACTAGTAGGTCATCACTTCAAAGAGGTTGCGGCACAGTATGGAAGGAGATTGGTACTAGTAACTGCGGGGCACACAGTCCTGGGCTTCCCAATTTAGGTGGTTGGCCAGGCCGAGCAGTGATGACAGCCCTGTCAGCCACCTCATGTGGCCCGCTTCCTGTGTGTTGCATGTAGCACCTTGTGCACGGCGCCTTGTTTTACCCTCATGCCTTTTGTAGGGCAGGCTAAGAGCATCCCTTTGCAGACAGAGAAACTGAATCAGGAGAGGCACGACACTTACTGATAGGGCTCATGACTGATCCCAGGCTTTGCACTGAGGCCCTGTTTCCCCCAACAGGGGCCGAGCCACATCCCAGCTGGGAGCACATCCTCTTCACCTCCTGCCACAATCATCACCTGCAGCTGAAGCCCCCTCGCCGGAGGCTGCACTCGTGGGCAGATGACTGGAAGGCCATCTTGGACAGCAAGCGGCCCCGCTGAGGGCTGCACTGCGGCTCTCTCGTGGTCCAGTGTGGGGCTCGCAGCTCATGACTGGACAGCAAGCAGTTTGCTGAGGGCTGTGCTGCAGCTCCCTGGCATTTCCTGGAGGACCCAATGGATCCTTGATCAAGACAACCTCTCGACACACTCCCCTTCCTCTCCTGGCCCAGTCCTTTACCTGATCTTGGGGCAGGGCTGGGAGAAAGGCATTTGCTCTCGGGCAACTTGGCCTAGCCTCAGGCAGGGGCCATGCCACTGCCTCCCACTGCTTACAATAGGGTGTTCTCTAAGGAACGGAGGGGCCCTGGTTCAGGATCTGTGGCCTTTGCAAGGTAAAGAGTGCCAGGGGCAGATGACAGAGGGTCCCCTGGTAGACACGTGCCCTTCCAACTCTAACTTGGCGCCTTGTCCAACCTGCCCACTTAGTCTGTTCTCTCTCCTCCTGGTGTTCAGTGGCCACCAGGCTCTCTTGGAGGCCAACAGTGACCCTGCCTATGGCCAATGCTGTGGTCTCTTTCTCTGGTGTCCCTAGATCCTATTCACGGCCCAGCAAGGAGCCAGCAGGCTTGATCATTTGTTGACCATGTGAGAAACAAATGCCATTCACATGTAGCTGCGGCCTTCTCTAGCACCTGCCCCAGAATGATCTCGTGTCCACCAGCCTGTGATGTAAGCATCTGGGAGTCCCCCATGGACAGAGGTGGGCATAGCTCTCCTTTGTGGTCCTCACGTGGTACCACGTGGGCGCAAGGGCGAAATGGCCTCAATGGCAGCACAGCTGGCAGCCTGATGGTTCCTTTTGGTCCCATTCGTCTGAGGGAGGCCCTGCTTCCCTCAAGCCCAGTACCTCACACATGTTCTCCTAACCCTGAGTCAGGCACAGGGCCTTCTCTATGCTTTCCTCAAGGCCAAGTTTCCATAGGCCTAGAAGCTGTTGTCACAGCCTCAGCGCATGTTCCTTTTGGGCTGGGTCCTTGGGAGGTGACACTTGAACCAACTCCCCACTCCTTGAGAATTTTAGAAACGGTGCCATTGGAGACCAGCTGCATCCTCAGAACCCTTACCAGAGATGGGCTGGAGACCAGCTGCATCCTCAGAACCCTTACCAGAGATGGGCTAGAGACCAGCTGCATCCTCAGAACCCTTACCTGAGATGGGCATGATGGCATGCACCTGTTTTCTCAGCACTTAGGTTGGCACAGGAGTGTTGCTGTGGATTCAAGACCAGTTAGGGTTGCATAGCAAAGCCCTGTCTAAAAACATTAAAAACCAGGACCCCAGTTTGTTTCCTGGCCTTCATACTACACCTTCAGCACCTGTGGCAGGTGATCTTCTGACTGCCTAGGAACCGGGCTAGGTAGACAAAAAAATGTGGGCGACAACCCTGCTTTCAGAGCTGGCCAGGAATTCCGTTTCCCGTTTTTTGTCTTAAGAGCTCATTTCTGTCACCCAGGCTAGGTAGGGAGGTCCCGGACATCCACCACCCAGTCTGGAGAAGGATGCCCCAGAAACCCACTGCTTGAGCCCCTCTTGACTTGGCCTTATGTAGCTTTCCATAGTACCTCCCCACTGTTACCCTCAGGCTGGTTGGGGGCCCTGCCAGTGCCGTGCAGGAAACGTGGCAGTTGTGTCTCTCGATCCTGGAACTCTGGCTCAGGCAGGGCAGCTTCTGGTGATGCCTTGACCTGGGGGCCTGGAAGAAAGCCAGTCCCTGGAGTGTGGGCTCTGTGCCTGCTCCAGAGACCCTGTGTTATCTGACGTAAGATCTCACTCCCACACGCCATCTATGCAGGACCAGGAAACAGTGTGATAAACGAGGTGGGTGAACTCGTTCCTGTGACTCCTGCTGGCTGGGCCCGGCTCTCTCTTTCCTGTCAGCCATACGGCCTGCTTTCCCGTGATCCTTATGCTGCCGAATGCCAAGTCTCCTCTTAGAGTGACCTGGGCGGTCTGGGGCCTTGTAGCCTCCAGCTGTCGCAGTGAGGGAATTCTCTTTGCCTGTGACCTTCAGTGACAGGTTGGGGATGGTCTGTCATGTACCTCCTAAGTACCTGAGCTTTTGCCAAGTCAGAGGTCACAGCAACAAATGAGGCTCACTCAGCCCTGCCTTGAAAATACTGTGTGTGATTCTAGTTCAGGGAACAGAAACCAGGGCCGCTCGTTGCTATCCAGAGTCTGCCCCGCCAATGACAGACAACCCTGCTGTCTTAGTTAAGGGTACTCGTTCTATGATGAAACACCATGACCAAAAAGAAAGTTGGGGAGGAAAGTATTTATTTGACTTATTCTTCCAGTTGTAGTCAGTCCATCACTGAGGGAAATCAGGACAGGAACTCAAACAGGGCAGGAACCTGGAGGCAGGAGCTGATGCAGAGGCCATGGAGGGGTGCTGTTTACTGTCTTGCTCAGCCTGCTTCCTCATAGAACCCAGAACCATCTACCTTGGGATGGCACCAACCACAATGGGCCAGCCCTCCCCCATCAATTACTAAGAAAATGCCCTACAGCCAGATCTTATGGAGGCTTTTTCTCAATTGAGCATCCCTCCTTTCATGTAGCTCTATCTTGTGTCAAGTTGACATAAAACTAGCTACCACAACTGACCCCTTGTCAACTGGACACACAAATCACTGTTAAGCCACAGCCTTTCCTTCCTTCTTCATCCCCAAGATCACACGTTAATATGGATCTCACAATATAAAATATTTCAAACTTAAAAGCCTCACTGCCTCACAGTTTTGAACATTTACAATATCCAAAGTCTCAACAGTGGACTCCTATAAAATAAAAAATAAGTTATTCTTTTTTTTTTTTTTTTACGTCAAGAAGTAAGAGCCAGGGCATAGTCATAATCTGAACAAGGCAAAACAAAACTCCAGCTTTAAAAACTAGGTATCTAATGTCTGGGATCCACTCTTGGTCTTCTGGGCTCCTCCAAAGGGCTTGGGTCACTTCTCCAGCTCCGCCCTCTGCCGCACACACAGCTCGTCTTCTGGGCTCCTGCTGGTGATCACCCTGTGGTACTCCAAAATGCTGGGGTCTTCTGCTGCAACTGGGCAGCACTTTCACCAATAGCCTCTCCTGGGCTCTCTTCATGGTGCCAAGCCTCACCTTTCTCCATGACCCCTTCAATCCTGAGGCTTCCACTGGTACCCCAGCTGCACCGTCACCAGTGGCCTCTCCTGGTCATCACAGTGCCAAGCTTCAGCTGCTCTCCATGACCCCTTCATTTCTTCAGAACCAGTAGCATTTGGGAGACTCTTACACAGGACCCAGTCTGGCTGCCAGCACAGAGCCCAACCCTGGCCACCTCTGGAACAGAGAGAGCTTCTGTGTGCTAACTCTGAGGAAATACTTCCCAGAAGACTTCACCCAGGCGACACTGGTCTCTTCTCAATCACCGCTAATTTCTTATCTCCAGCTGGCCAGCACTGATTGTCCCGGCAAAAGGAAGGGTTCTCTTTAGTGCTTCTGGGTCTCTTGTTAATTAGAGCTGATTCTTCAGCCCCTGCTGACCAGACACTGCAGATTCCTCACACAAAGGCTGGCTCTACTGGATGCTCAGCCATATGGGTGTCCTAGGAAGGGAATGAGATTGTATTAGTCAGGGTTTTCTAGAGAAACAGAATGGAGAGAATGAATATATATTGCAAGGGGATTTATCAGAGTAGCCCACAGACCGTGTCCATCTTGTCCAGGAATCGGATAGTGTTGGGGGGTAATCACCGGTGAAGACTGCTCAGACTTGGCTTTAAGTCAATTGAAAGTCTTCATTAGCAGACTGGAAACTACACTGGGTGTTCAGGGTTCTAGTGTAGCCTCAGCCTTTCTCAGGGTGAGCTTTGAAGAACAAAAGCAGTGTTCTGGGCTGACATACTTAAGCTAACAAGAATAGCTAGCCAGGGGTGGAACTACAGAAGCCAGAAAGCAAAGTTAGTACATTTAAAGACTTCCTCAGAACTATATGGACTTTGATGGACGAGAGCTATGTTTTAGTTTTGGCTGATGGTGCTGTCTACATGCTGAATTTTACAGCCTGAATAGTACTTAGCTGTGCTAACGTCTGGGGGTCTACTAATGTCTGGAGCCCTGTTATAATAGTTGTTCAGTTCACGAGGCTGAATGTCTCAGGTAGCCTTTACCATATGGTTGGAATCCCAAAGAAGTAGCTTCTAATACCAGTGTAGGATGGTCACGCAGCAGAATATATATGTGCTTGCCGGTGAGTGAGGGTAAGTACACAATGAATTTCCCTTTCATTGTCCTTGTATATAGGCAGTCATCAGAGGGCGTGACTCAGATTTAGGGTGGGTCTTCAAATGATCCAGTCAAGAAGGATCTCTCAGAGGTGTGGCTGGCTAGGATTTAGTTGATTCCAGATGTAGTATGTTAACAACCAAGATTGGACATCACAGTTCCACCCACTGTAAACCTGACACACCATCATGTCTCCTTACAGCTTGCTTAATTTCCCAATGAAAATGATAGTGAGGTTGTTTTACACCTGACGTGGTATAACTACCCCACATACAACCGCAAATGCAGTATATGTTTAGAATAGGTGACAATGTCCCTTGAGGAATATTCTTATAGTGCCTCATAGCTTAAGTATGATAAATCTCAGGTGATGTTATCTGATAAAGAAATTGAGGAAAGTATACACACACGCTCCCGCGTACACACGTATATCAAGTCACGTATACTCCTCACTTCTGAAGCTGCCACATGGCCTTAGCTGGTATTTATAACTGTCTTCTTCTGTCCATTCTGTATTTCCTCCACCCTCAGCAAGTCCCTCTTTCTGGAAGAGTGACCCATACCCTCATTCCTGAAGGGTCTGGACCCTTTGCCATCCTGGTGCGTTTGGGCTTTTGTATTTTCCCACTGACTTCAGCCACACGACACAGCGGCACCAAGAGATGCCCTAAAGCAGCTGTTCTCAACCCGTGGGGTGCGGCTCCTTTGGGCGGCAAATGACCCTTTCATGGTGGTTGCCTAAGGCCATTGGAAAACACAGATATTTACATTATGATTCATAACTAGCAAAATTACGGTTATGAAGCAGCAACGAAAATAATTTTATGGTTGGGAGACTCCACGACATGAGGAACTGTATCAAAGTGTTGCAGCTTTGGGAAGTTGAGAACCACTGCCCTAAAGGATCTCCTGCACTCCAGACATGATCTTTTTACCTCTATCGTGGAGAAGTAATCCAATTTCCCCATGGTAATCTGAATCAATCACTCTTCCTAAAACTCTTACTCCTTTCTTAGCTTGTTGGCTTAAGGGCATCAGAAGCCCAAAGTGGCCCAGAGGAAGTCTGAGCTTCCAGTTCAAGGGCCTGTTTGTTGTTTCTCCTCGTAGGAGAGCTCCCCTTTGTGGAATCAAACCTTTAAGGCTAGCAGAACTTGCAGTCACAGGAACAGGCAAGCAAAAATGTTCTCAGTCACTAAGGGTGATAATGAGTGATACCATCCCCTTTCCTACCTCTTGATTCCTGGACCCCTGGATCCTGGCTATGGGAGAAATCGTACCATCTATTGGCCACCGATTCAAAGCATAAAGTGTCTTCTAGAGAACTCTACCCAGGCTACCTAATTGGCTCTGTAACTGTGTCTTCGAAAGGTCATCCCATTGTTCCGTCAGGCCAATGGCGTTGGGATGTGAGGAACATAGTAAGACCAGTGGATGCTGTGTCATGGGCCCACAGGCTGTTGTCCTTCTTTTCCTGTGATGTGAGTTCCTTGGTCAGAAACAATAGTGTGTGAACCACCATGACAGTGGGTAAGGCATTCTGTCTGTCCACAGACGGTAGTTTGGGCAGAAGCATTATGTACAAGAAAGGCAAATCCATACGCAGAATAAGTATCTACTCTTGTAAGGCTAAAACCTTGACTGTTCACAAAGGAAGGGGGCTAGTGTAGCCAACCTGCCGCCAGGTTGCTAGTTGGTCTCCACCGGGAATGGTACCATGCTCAATGTTGGTCTCTGCTGTTGTGGTACCTGCATAACATGCAGAACATCAGTAAACCAGGCTCTAGTCTTCTCTTCACCAGGCCGTAGGTGCATGCTTGGGAACAGACAGCATTGTCATGGGAATAGGAACTATAGGCGTCTGGGCAGCTTAGTCACGTAACTTGCTTGTACCCTCAAGTCCTGCCTAGGCCTGATGGTGTATATACCACCTCCACTTGATAACAGAGTGACTGCAGTGCGCATCCTACTTTATGGCTTGATGGTTCAGGAAACAGCTTTAATCTGACTTGGGAGGCAGAGACAGGTGGATCCGAGTTCAAGGCCAGCCTGATCTACAAATAGGACAGCGAAGGCTACACAGAGAAACCCTGTCTTGAAATTTTTTTTTAAAAAAGTCACAAATTTGGTGGCGGGAGGGTCAGGGAAGGGAAAGTAAGTGCTGGCTGTCCCAAAAGAACAGGAGGCAACAACCACTTGTAACCCATACTTGCCTCACAGGATGGGAAATAAATCCAACCAAAATTCAATGCCCTTCTACCTCAGTAAAATTCTTAGAAGTTCTGTGGTATGGGGTGTACAGAGATGTACCTCCCAAGGGGAAGGGGAAGTTTTTGCACCTGGCCCATCACCAAGAAAGTAGCACAGGCCTGAGTGGGCCTACCTGGGATTCTGGAGATAGGACATTCTTCACTTGGGCCTGTTACTCAGGCCTGTACACAGGAAGCTGCTAGCTTTGAGTGGAGCTTTGACCAGGAGGAGGCTCTTCAACAAGTACAGGTCGCTGTGCAGACTACCACACCACTTGGACTGTGTGACCCAGCAGACCTCATGATACTTGAGGTGTCAGTGGCAGACAGAGATGCTGTTTGCATGGAAACCATGTGTAAAATTTCTTTCCAGTGAATGTATCTGCTGTTCGGTTGAAAAATCCTTGATTAGATTGGCTTGATTAGATTGGCTTGAATGTACAGACTGGAATCCACAGGTCAGCAACAACCAGGCTCCCACAGCTTCAAGAATGGCTCCTTAGGGGAGTTGTGAACTTCCATGAAAACTTAAGAATCTTTAACTGGTTCTGCTGCTGGTCAGACTACAGTGGTTTTCCACCTGTGAGTCTCAACCTCCAAACTACATATCAGCTATGAATCATATTTACATTATGTATATCTATTACGATTCATAACAGTAGCAAAATTATAGCCATGAAGTTACAATTAAATAATTTAATTTTGTGGGTCACCACAAAGGGCCTTGGTATCGGGAAGGTTGAGAGCCACTCAGTGGAACAGACCTGATTGAGGAACTCCAGTTCATAGAGATGGCCACTTGATGGCACCAGAGGCCTGACTCTGGGACCTTGGAGCCTGTAGTGTCTCTGGACCAGGCCTGCCGCTCTTGGAAGTCTCATCCTGTTGTTCCCAACCACCGCTTCTGAGGTACGTATCTCCTGGGCAGGATCTGAGGACCTCAGCCACTGTTGTCTGAGCAGTGGGCTAATGCTTCACAGCTGCTCTTACCCCACTGAGAACAGCCAGGCCCTACGGCTGTCAGCCTCCAGACAGAAGGACCCATGGGTGTCTGCTGGGATGATACAATGAGACATGCCATACAAACCCAAGGTGGTCCTTGGCATGCATCACTAGCAAAGGCGTCATTTCACAGGTTCCTCATGCATGTCCTCCCACCTCACTGTGAAGGTTTTCTGGAACATCTGGAGGTGAACCGTTTGTTTGTCCTGCTCTGGGAGTCACCCCTGCACATGTGTGTTACACATGCTTCACCCCTGTGGCATTTGAATCTCTGACCTCTGACAAAGTGCAGGGTTCCTTTCTGCACAGGTTCCCCTCTAGTCTGCGGCCTCTGCTTTCCTTCCCCTGGTCCCAGGCCTGTCTCATCTCCACCCCCAGGCCCTGCCGGTGGT